ATCTATGAGACAATGCACAGAGGTTGTCTTAAGATTCAGCACTGCGGTGATGGGTGTCTGTATCAGGAGGAAACAAGTACAGCTAGCTCCCAGGGTGGTAAAGCTGACCTGGGCTCAAGAAAGATGCCTTCCTATCGATGATACTACCTTCCACGAGCACATGCTACCCTGCAGTGGAGTTCTCTTTCCTCAGAGAGTCACCTTCCTCTTCCCTGCACAACTCTGCCCTGCATCCCCAGCCTCAGCTGAGACCCAGTGTTCCACAGAACCTTCTGCATCCCTGGCCCACACACAGGCTTGTACATACTCTCCTCTGAACTCCCACAGGCTTTCTGCTGGACCTGGGAATTATGGACTTAATTACATAGTAGGTAGTGTTGCCATCTCTCATTTCATGTCTGTTTATTTTGTTTCCAAAATAAGATTGAAACTTATTATTAGACAGGAACTATGTTTTTTTCTATTGCTGCTGTCTCTAAATACTTACACACACATACACATACATACATACAAACATACACACACACACTATGCACAATTTTGTTTTTAATTATCTTGTCATACAAAGAAAGAACACTTAGGCATATATTTATAGTTAGATATCTTCAATTGGTGGTGGCACATGCCTTTAATTGTAGCACTTGGGAGGCAGAGGCAGACAGGTCTCTGTGAGTTCAAGGCCAGCCTGGTCTACAAGAGCTAGTTCTAAGAGCTAGTTCCAGGACAGGCTCCAAAGCTACAAAGAAATCCTGTCTTAAAAAAAGAAAAGAAAAGAAAAGAAAAGAAATTAAAAAAAAGACAAAAGGAAGATATTTCCAATACTTTCTTTATCCTGTGACTGGCCACTAACTCATCTTTCTATTTCTTACTAGAGCATTCTGTTTTCTGGTGAAATTTGTTGATGGTGTTAAAGTCTAAGTTTGGGCCCACAGTGAATAAGACAGGGTTAGTTTTTCACTGATGGCTCCAGTCAACAGTGGCTCTAATCATATTCCCCATTATGCCAGTCAGAGAACTGGGGTGAAACCTGTTTGAAATCATAACACAACAAAATGGGATGCTGTGCCTGAGATACGCATAACCTAGCGCTAAGTACACAACAGATGCTCAGTAAAAATGGGTTAGGCGGGGCTGGAGAGATGGCCCAGAGGTTAAGAGCACTGACTGCTCTTCCAAAAGTCCTGAGTTCAATTCACAGCAACCACATGGTGGCTCATAACCATCTGTAATGAGATCTGATGCCCTCTTCTGGCCTGCAGGTGTACATGCAGGCAGAACACTGTACACATAATAAATAATAAAGAAAACATTTTAAAAAATGGGTTAGGCAGATGTATAATTGACTCAGTAGGAAAGCATTTGTCTAGAACAAGTAAGACCCTGGGTTTCATTCAGTTCCAGCATCTAGATAACAGAAGGTGAATTAGTACATCAGTGAGTTTCTCATATGGCATCCTCTAACCACTGGAGCTGACCCTCCATACAAACATCTACATACACAAAGAGTGCACAGTTGATCTCCCCTTGGGTAGTTTCTAAAGGAACAGACAGATGAGTTCTCCAGAACATGTTGTTCATGTCTCAAAATAAGATCCACCTCTCATTTCAGGTCACACGTATTTTAGTGGTCAGGGGAAGAGTTTTTGTAAGGAAAACAATGAAAGGGCCCATATTGTGGGAACAGGAATTAAAATAAGCTGTGCCTTGCCATCTGCAGACATAGATGCCTTCCCACCCTGCTGCCTTTTGTGCGGTCCCATTCTGCTCTATCTGTTCCTTTCATGCAGAGAGTGAGGCCAGGATGGCTACTGCCCTGCTAACAAAGCTTACACAACGTTCTTGGTATGTAATGCACACTGGCACATTGCCCCCATCAAAGCCCTGCTGCAACCCTAGTGAAGGGGTTGCCATTGTTACCATCCTTCTATATAAGGAAAACCTTTTATAGAAGACAATACTGGGAAAGCAGGAAGGGGACAGATAAGGTGATCTTGCATAAAGTAGCTGAGGAAAAGCCACTTGAGCTGGGACAGAATAGAGGACTGGATTCTGATCTATTTGGAAGCCCTTTGGTCCTCCACAAGCTGCTGAAGTGTCCTGAAACTTGGGAGATGCCATGCCAGTCCTGTGTGCCTCTCTGGTTCTCATGGCATTTCTAGAAACTGGAGGTGGGCAAGCAGGAGTGCGAAAGAGGAGCTCTCCCCCTCCTTTCTTGTCTCAAGTGAGGTGTTGCAAGATGAGCAGGGTAGTGATGGAGGGATGCCAACCAAGCAGCAGAGGAGGCACAGCCGAAAGGAACTCCCAGTCTTCCAATGTTAAAAAAGCCCCCAAGATCAGAAAAAGAGTGTAGACATCAAGTAGTCAGACTGGGGTAAATTGCCCATCTCGCACTTCGAGGCTGTGTGAACCCGGACAAGAGTCAGCATCTCTGAGCTTCAGGTGCCGGATCTGTAAACATGGAGTAGTTAACAATGCCGACCCCATAGGTGTGCTCTGAAGATGGAGTGCAGATGGAGCTGAGGGGCAGTAGGACCCACACTGAAGCCTCTGAATACCCATTGCCATTATGTTGATTGTATTGTTGAGTATGTAATATGACATATGCAACCATAGATGCTTTATTATATAATACATAATCCTATACCGATGATAAGAATTGTAACATGATATGAGTTGGGCACTGAAAAAGATACAGGCTGTGGTGTTACATCTGTTTTTTTAATGACCATAATGCCAGCAATATTACCTGTCCCCACACTCCAAAGGGTGTGAAGCACTGGGGTAGACTTATATCTCGTATTTTATCTCAAATCCCAGCCAGTGAAGGCAGTATTCCCCCCCACCCTTTGCAGGATGAGGGCAAAGCTGCCAGAAATGTTTACACCTAATGGTCCTTTTCCTTCTTTATAGTCCTGTTTCCTGAGAATGCTAACCTGTTTCCATGGTGACTCATGAGTTCAATGGTTGTTTCCCAGAGAAATAGCCTATGTATTAAGTGAGACAGAGGAACCTCCTGAAGCTGACTTGAGTCTGAAGGACTCCTCTACAACAGGCAGGAAGGTTTGGGATTTCACCCAAGGGCAGTTACTAAGAAGCAAAAGTATTTCATTGAAGATGTTTTCTTCTATAAGGGTGGACAGGTTCTTTTTATTGTTGTGATGATGATGATGATGATGATGATGATGATGATGATGATGATGATGATGATGATGATTTCATAGTAAAGCAAGCTAGTGTTGTGTTTTCAGTTCCAACACTGGTACTCCCCACCAGATGGCGGCATTTACAGGTTTCATAAGTCCCTAGTTTCCTGCCCTTCCCAGAACTGTTAAGGCAGGAATCTCTATCTATGTCCTTCCCAGGCCAAGTGAAGAAACAGAGATCCCAGGTCACAAAGCCAATAAACAGTTCATCTGAGACTGCTGGAAACGCCAGCTCATGGCCACACTCAGGCCACACCTCTGATCTGCGTGTGGCTTTTGTGATCTTGGCATACTGACAAGAAAGCCATTCTCAGCAAGCACATCTCAGAGCCAGGAAGAGAACTTTTCCACTAGGCAATAAGTGAATATGATTGGAATGAGAAGCGTGGGTGCTGGGGCTCTAATTAAGGATATCCACACACACACACAGGCGCCTTGACACACATACATCGAAGAGCATACCGGCGACCACTGGGGCAACCCAGTGCCTTGCACGATGCAAGCACATCTCCACACAATATTTTTAGAACATTATCTAACAATGTCTACAAAATAAATTATTCATGCTCTTTTATTTGGCATTTCCTCTTCTGGTAATATGGAAATATCGATAGAAATAGAACTTCACAAATATATGCTTGACAGTGTTTATGAAAATACTGTTCAGAGTAGCAAAGAAAGCATCCAGGTGATCCATTAGGTCCTAGAGTTCCACTATAAAACAAGTAGAAAATGGAATTTTATCCAAATGGCTATGACATTTCCCTTATCCCAGAGCTGAAGGGATGCCTACCATGTCTAAGATGTCTAAGATATTCCACTATACAGTGGAATATAGCTATTTGAAAGAATTTCTTATGGGAATATCATCATCCCTCTAATGTGTACATTCATTTGTTTATGTGTGGTGTAGGATGAGCTTACAGAAAGGTGTGTAGTTTGTTAACACTAGGTACTGGGGGGGCCAGGAAGGATGAAAGGAGCAAAGATGCCTGCTGTTTTCTTTGTTGATATTCCAGAGTTTTCAGTACTTACAGTATGCTTATGTTATTTGTGAAATACATGAAGTCTTATCCCCCATGACCAGTAAAAAACAAAACAACAAAACACAAAAAACAAAGCCACCCAACCAAAGAAACAAATAAATATGTCTGAAAGCAAAGACAGAGAAAATTCTAAAATAAGTTTCTCAAATTCTGTTTTGGCCTGTTCCTCGATCAACACCATAGGAACAGAAGTATTGTTCTGTTAATTAAAAAATACACAGCATCAAAGAGGAACGAGGAACTGTCAATCTAAGCATTCTTGGAGCTAGTTAGCTTTTGTGACCATTTTCCTGTCCTAGTCTTGATTCTGGAGTAACCTGCTGAACTTAGCACCTAGGAATGTCCCCCCACCCAGAGAGGGAGTTGTGTAGCCTGTGATACCAAAGTGACTTGAGATGTTTCATCCTGGTCGGCCTCACCCCAGAGTTTGTAACTGTAGATAGACCCCACCAGGAGACAGAACCAACTCTGGCAGACAGGTCTTCTGGGGCATCAGAACCCGGCACTGTGAAGACTGGCCTTGTTCCCATGGGTTAACCAATTCTGACTCTCACTTGCAGAGTGACAACTGTCAGAACTAGGAACCACAGAAGTCCCAGCTCTTACGGTGATGACCATGAGACTTCAACAGTGATAAAACCATCTGAAGCACTAGCTCAGCCAATCCTTCTGGGCTGTCACCATCCAGTTCTAAAACCCTTAATCCATCCGACCTTAGGAGCCAGCGAGAAGGCAAAATAGACTGACTTACCAAGCCAACTTCTGTTTAAGTACACAGACACAAACACGGGAGGGACTGTGAAGAAATCGACTACAGAATTCACTTCCAGCCAGAACCACAGCTTATCGTTGGCTGCAATAAACTGGGGGGAAAGAGAAATGAGACAGAAAGACAAAATGAGAAGTATGGTGCCAGCATTTAATATATGTCCTTTTGTCAAAGGACCAATGTTGGGTTTCTGTGGGGTCTGGAGAATGACATTCTCTTCTTCTCATATTAGTGACTATATGCCACATAGGCCTTGGAGAACGATCAGACAATATAATTTCCTGTGGTTCCTGGCAGCCTCATGGAGAAGGATGAGGAAACTCACTTCGCTGGGTCTTTCCAAGGTAAATTTAACTGTGAATGAAGCGCTTATATACGCATTCACGCACATGTCTGTAATTTCCATTTTGTACAAAACTCCTCATGAGTACCATCCAGTATGGGCCCGAATCCCACCAGCCTTCACTGGTTGGCTCTGATAGTGGCGATCTCAACATTGCTAAAGATGAATTGATGAGCTTAAGATACTTTTGTTCAATTTACCTTTTAATAGAAAAACACATTCATGTTTGAATATGTTAGAAACTTAAGGACACAGAGACAGTGAAGATGTCATTGTTTCAGGCCCTTCCTTGAACTAAAATAAACACATATTACAGAAAATGTCCAGCTACTCAATGACCCAAGACCAGAAAGCAGGTGTGCAGTCCACCATGGGGACTTCAGGCGTCTCCTGGCCTGGGAGAGCAGGCCTGGGTGTCATGTTATCCTGGAGATTCAGATTCTCATACCCCACTGTGCTACTCCTGGGAGATGCCGCCAAACTTACCCGCAGGCCAAAGTAGAGAAGGAAGAACACGTTGAAAGCCATGTCGATCTGTAATGTGAAATCTTTGTAGAAATTCTGGCAGGATTCTATTGGGCTATTAGGTGGGAAGAAGAAAAAGCAAGAGGTAAATAAAAGACAAAGAAAACATCATCACAGCTTCCACAATGCTGAGAAACGGTGTGTAGGGTCGAGGACAGAATGAACGTTCATTGAATACGTTTGGTCTTTCTACCCCTTGTGACCATCAAGCAAGCACTGCCAAAGGGGTTTCCATTCAACCATTCAGAGTTTTCTTGTTTTATTTGCTGGGGGGTGGTGGTGGCAATTTTAGATATTATTTTTTTTTAATCATCATTCAACAGTTGATCTAAGACTCAAAAGAAGGTCATGCAGACTCCTTTGGAGGAAGGACAAGCAGGAAGGACTACCAAATTCCTTGATTTCACATTAACCCTTAAAGAACTGATTTCTTCAATTAAAAGAACTTATTACAAGCCTAAAACATCAGATCCTATTCCCTCCAGCCCATTAGAAGTGGAGCCCATTTTCCAGCAGCTACATCTGGATCTTAGAAAAGCTCTTAGCAGATTTGTAAAGGACCCAAGAGCATCTCAGGAAAGCTCTGGAGGAGAGGCTCCTGGTTACCGTTCTAGCTAGTCTAAGCATGGACTTCTTGTGTGGTACTCTGCACTGGGGAAAGAAGCAATGTTCAACAATAAAATTCAAGATCATTAAACTAATGTATAGAAGCAGTACTCTAAGGGTTAATTTTGTTTGTTGTTGTAGTTGGCATGCAGGTTAATGGGCTTTGTTTTGTGTGTGCCAAGCAGCCAATGCACACCCCCAGCACACTTCTATTTTGTTCAAGAGTCGGCAGTTCCAAAGGGTACTACTATACAAACTGGTACAAGGCTTCATGAGATTTCCCACAGTAAACTGATCAGAACATCACAGTGCAAACGTTGCCAAAGGTTCGGGCAGGTGGGAAGCACCAAAGTCTCACAGACATCTCAAAACTATAACAGAAATTTCAGTATAGTGCTGTCTGTAAGCAAATGGAAGCATCCAGGCTGGGAGTAATAAGACAGTGAGATGAGGAAAAGGGAGGGAGAATGGAGAGACCCCCAGGTTCTTCTTCAGATGGGAAGCAAGCTGGACTTCCCGACCCAGGAGTGAGGGAGCTGCAGAGATGCATCAGGAAAGATTTCTGAGCAGCATTGCCACTTTAGAAATCATTGCATAAGATACCAGTTAGTATAGTTGTACTTCAATCAGGGCAATGCTTGGCTGTTCAACAGGCAGGAATTGGTGCAGCCCGGGAATGCAGGGCCCACTCAGAGGTAAGTCAGTCAATGGGAACCTCCAGTCATGTGACATGCACTGGCTTTCCCCATTCTTCATTGGGATTACAAACCAAACATGCCCCTGGTCATGTTCCAAACCACTGTTTTGTGGCAACCCTCCACACACAAAGGCAGAGTAACCTATTCTTGCATTTACAAAGTAAGCAGACTGAACAAAAGCTACAGAAAATGGTTGTTTTACAAAGGAAATGACAACTGCCGAGTTCTCACTAAGGTAAGAAAAGTGAGAGAGGAGACAGAATGGAATCTGGTTAGTCCGGTGCTGAAAAGAGGCAGGAACAAAAGCTTACAAGAAGCAGCCTACCATTGTTTTTTATTTGTCCCCGCCCAAGCATGAACTTAAATGAAAACTAGGGCCTGTAGTTAACAAGGGACATGTTTAAGCCAAGGTGTGGTACTATTATCAAGAACAAGAACACAGTATGCTCCTAAAAGATGCATGAAGGGTGACAGGAAAAATCTACTACAGATCCCGGGGACCTTAAGTTGACATTATGTATCTCTGTGGTGAGAGAGCCATTGGCAGGATATACTATTGAAAATTAAGAGGTGTGTGTGTGTGTGTGTGTGTGTGTGTGTGTGTGTGTGTGTGTGTGCGTGCGCGTGCGCACACACACACACACACAGGAGAACAAGTGAGTGAAGCTGCAAGAGATTTGTAGATAAGCATTGCACTCACGCGCTCCACTGTGCTAGCAGGAACTTGGCTTCTACACTGAAAGTTTGCAGTCACCTATTTTGTTGTACACACAGTCAAGGGAACCAAAGGAAGGCCTTGGGTTCAAGTTCATCAAGGAAAATCCATAATTACTTCATTAAAGCCAAGCAATAAGCTCAGCATTGCCTTCCCAATAGTCATGGAAGGAGAGATTGGTGGCATTTGGGAATCTCATGAATTCTCTGGTGCCTATTAATTCCTTGAGTTTGTGGATTAATTTAGAAATTTCTTGGAAAAGATTTTTCTGGACTGTATTAGAGATATGACATTTAAGTGTCACTTGGGTTACTTTTGTTCAACATGAACGGGGAGAGATATTCAGAAAGTATTAACCATCAGGGCACAGCAACTCTTCCCCAGTGTTCCTTGGTTTCCTGGTCAGTTCTTTTGTTCTGGTGCTTTTCACATCATACAGTGTTTAAGTACAACAATGAAAAGACTCTAAAAGATGCCATGTTGAGAACCATATCTCAACACTCCATCCCCATTTAGAGAAAGTAATTCAGAAAACAAAATAGACCTTGCCACTGGCTGCTCAAAATTTAAAACTGACTTAACCATCACCTCCTCACTAGTCACTGAGTTCTACACTTTGAGCTAAAACAATGAAATAGAAGTTGCTCTGCTGCTCTGAGTGGCTGTTCCTCTGGCTGAGGTGCAAGGTCACAGAAACACATCGTGAGCTATGGACAAGGCTGGGGTAAAGGGCAAGAGGTGCGAAATTCTGAGGCAGAAACTGAACTGAGTCTCTGGGAACTCAGGTGGAATGAGAGCATTCTGGTGACACATTTTATATCTCTTTTAGCAACTTCCCCCGGCAATGGGAATGCCCGGAACAACACCCTGCATGGTGTTTCAAGTAGCAACGGAACTATTTATCAGGATCCCTTCTGAGATAAATCCCCTGAGTGCCTATAGTTCATGCTCTCACACAATCAGAGCCTACAGAGTGGAGATCGAAAGCCCCATTATTTCATTCCCCAAATGGAAACAACCCATGGAGTTTACTGATCTTTTCAAAAGATAATCCATAACTCAAAAGCCAAAAGGTTGGCCTATCAGGATTTATTTTTCTCCCCAAGAGACTTTATCTTAGCGATTATTACTCATTGCAGGAGGGAACCGAAATGGAAGCGCCTCTTCGGTCTTGTGTAAAGCGCCAGGGTTTCCTTGTCTACATCCGCAGATGGCAGCAGGGAAATGGGGCTGCTATTTAAAACTACAAAAGAAACTGATTCTGAGTCACATTCTTAAATTTAGATTGCCATTCTGACGAGGCATGCCCACATCAGAAAAGGCTTTGGGTGAACATGCAATGCCGATCATGGGTGGAAGGGTTAAGAACAGAATAGAATGGCACCAGCTCTAACTCTGACAGCAGCAATCTGGCCAAGCCTAACCCATTCCTAGCTAATGAGTAACTAGGTAAGTAGAGCTTGTAATCCTTGTATCTGATGGACTTTTCATTCCTAGGCTCCCACAGTCTATACAGATTGGGTGTGATACTGAAGTCTTGGGGACATTTAATGTCTTGACCAGGAATCTAAGCTTGAGGATCTTTTCAAAGATCCCCACTAAGAAGTTCCTTCTGTTGGGACATGTGCAGTAGAGGGCAAGGCTGAAAATTAACTTCTTGAAAGCATTTGCTTAGCATGCAGTTGTCTCCAAAGGAAATAAGACACTCTGGATGGAAAATGGATCCCATTTTACATATCCTAAACAATACATTTTCCTGTGAATAGGCTTCAGTATGATGATTCGATAGGTAGAACTTTTTGGACTTGGCTTTGGAATTTGTCAAAGCACAAGGCAAGGGTTTTCCTTCTAAAGGCCACTCTTTGGAATCTTGTGTCATCTCGAAGTAGGAAATGCGGACATTTCTCCCAACCCTCCACACTTCTCCTCATATCCCCAAATGCTATTCTCCTATCTCCTGCCTACGGCTGCCCAATTTCATAAGGCTATTTCTTCCAGACTCCGGTAGTCAGACTCTGGCCTTCATAGGCCTTGGCTCCAGTTCCTGATTCACTACTTTGGATTAGGGGTCTAACACTGGGCTTTTCTCCCAGGCTCCCAAATTCTGCTGATGCTGTTGTTCAGGGACCCCACTTTGATAACCATGACTTCTGAAGACTTTCCTAGCAACTGAACATTAATTACAGGTACCATTGCTTAAGAAAACTCCCATCCAGACCTGAACAGAGATGATTATTAAGAGTTTGAGCCTGTCCTCAGACCACCAGCTACATACCACTTAACTAATTGCAAAGATCAAGGCTTGAACAGATATTTTCAGTTTCAGATATGGAAAAGAACAGGGGTATGATTACAATACCACCTTACATGCTTCAACAGTGGAAATTCCAATTAACAATCGGAGAGTACCCGCTGAGTACGTTCTCAGTCCTAGATTAAAAGGGAAAAATGACAAAGTCTAGATGAGGAGGGGTGAAGGGGATGGAGCTTTACAGGAAATAAGGAAATGCTAAGCAGCTTAGGAACACAGCAAGCATTTGGAATGATAGAATAGGGAAGGGACTGGTAGAGAAACAAAGTAGCACTTGGTGCAACAACTCCTAACATTCAGATTCTCCCCACTCTTGAAGGCTAGTTCCTTTTAAAATTGAATGGAGCCGTCTCAAGCCCCACCAGGATTAAGGACCACCAGAGGTCAGATTCAAGGCACTGCAGACACGAATCAATTCAATAAGCTTAATGATAGCAGACTCTCCTCATGCACCTCCCATCTGCAGAGCTGCTAGATTAATCTAATTAAAAGACGTCATTCATGGAGCATTAGGGACCTTTCTGTTTCAAATACCAACTCGGAGCCAGTTGTGAAGAAACTCCAAAACCCACTTCATTCTAAAGTTCTACAGTTCTTTTGTTTTGGTTGCTACCACAAGCTGATGACTTTGTTCCTTCAGGAATGAGACCCAAATATTGTCAACTCTAAATCTGTGTTTGTGGTGGTGTGACTTATTCAAGTGCTCTTGTCCTTTTGTGTTCTAA